TGGGAGAACCAATAAGAAAAGATTCGTCGCAAAGTATGAAAAAAGGCTGGGGGCGGTGGTGGATATGGTCTCTCCTGGCAATCATTCCCACCCTCTCCGTTTTCTTATGCCACTTGAGGAAAAAGGAATCTAAACCAAAAGCAGCAAACAGGTGAGGTTCAAGGATATTCTGTCATTAATGCATGTTCACAAATGAGTTGCGTTTATGAACAACTATTTTGGGTTTAAAATTTCTTATATAATTGTTTGTAGAGGAAGGAGAAAGAAGGCAAGTGAAGTCACTAGTCGCATCAACATCTCAAACAATACCTTCGAACAAGTATGGTGATGCAGATAAACTAAAAATCAATACCAGGAAAGGTCAACATTTGCAGATATACAATTTTCTTCAAATAGCAGCTACGACTGATAACTTCTCGTCTCTTAACAAGCTTGGACAGGGTGGTTTTGGACCAGTCTACAAGGTACGTAAAACATTGTTACTACTAAACTGAGTTGAATCAAGTGTTGATATATATAACATTAAAAGTGACAACAATGTCTAGGGAGTACTACCATCTAGGCAACACATGGCAGTAAAAAGACTTTCCAGAAGTTCAGGCCAAGGAATAGTGGAGTTCAAGAATGAGATTACCCTAATTGTTGAACTTCAACATAGGAATCTTTTCAAGCTGTTGGGTTGTTCCATCCAAGGGGAAGAAAAAATGTTAATATATGAATATATGCCAAATAAAAGTTTGGATTTTTTTCTGTTTGGTTAGTTGCAATATTATTTGTTGGTACATTCTATTTTATTATTATTGATCATTAGCTTGACAAATTATTGCATTTTTCCAATTTTACATGGCAACAACAAATCCTACTAAGGGAAAACTATTGGACTAGAAAAGGCAGCTCAACATCATCGAGGGTATCGCACAAGGACTACTGTATCTTCACAAGTATTCCAAAATGAGAGTAATACAAAGAGACCTAAAAACTAGCAACATTTTACTTGATGATGCAAAAATATTAGATTTTGGATTGGCCAGAATTTTTGGACAGGATGAATCTGAAGCAAATACAAATAAGGTTGTCGGTACATAGCAAGTACAAACAATATTTGATTCGATTCGATTCGGATAGTCATATGCAATATATGTGAGTCGTACGCAGCGGAATGTATACAGGAAAGTTGTAGGTTTTGTAAAACAGATCGTGTCGTTACCAACTTTACTTATTGTAGCAGTTAAATAATTAATTGCATGTAGTAAAATAAAGCAAAGTATAAAGTTAGAGATGACATTAGAATTTTAGCGAGGAAACCCTAGTTGATAAAATATGTCAATTGTAATGGGAAAAACCTCGTGGACTTGTGCAGTCTAAAGTAAACCAATCCACTATGCTTGGAACAAAGTATATCGAACTTTGACTCAGACTCACATCCTATCGTTCTACACCACACCAACCGCTGATGATCCTCTGACTTTGCGACTCCCTGTCCAACAGCAACTCGACGTCAGGCTTACACTTGATATTTGTAAAAGAGTAGCAAGTAGATCAGACAGCACTCCGCGAATACTCTGACCCTTCCAAAGTGTGACTGCGTTTACTTCTGTTCTTCAATCGTCTGAATGATGTAGAAGAAGATCTGCTTTGCCTGATCGATGTTAATACAACCGTTTGATCACGATCAGGATTCGAACACCACAACTTTAAACTCTGTGTTTATGTGTATGTGTTCTAGAAAGATATCAGAAGAATCAACTCTGATTTTCTGCAAAAATAATCTTCCTAAGACTTTAATAATATCTGAATAATAATGTAAAAGCTGTGTTTAAACCAATGTATACGACATGGTTTATATAGAGTATAGAATGACATAATCCCTCTGAAAATAAGGTAAATTTCATGCATAGGATTTGGTATAATTCTAGACCAACTGGGAAATAATTCAGAAAAATGAAACTGAAGTATTGCAAACAGGACATCTTGAACCAGTTCAAGGAGGCTGAACAGGTTCAAGTTTGGCAATTACCTAAACTTGAGCATCTTGAACCGGTTCAAGGAGGCTGAACCGGTTCAAGTTTGGCAGTGACTCAAACTTGAACATCTTGAACCAGTTCAAGGAAGCTGAATCGGTTCAAGGTTGGCAGACCTAAATACTCGAATTCTTGCAGTCTTGTTTCATTCTACTGGAATTTTAGACTAACATAGTAAGTAACATGGTAAGTGTAGAATGTCCAACCTTATTCATATTCCTTCCTAAATTAGTGTCCTTACCCTTTTCTTCACAAACTCTTCAAGTATGGTAAGTTTGAACTTCTTCCCAGTTTTGTAACCCCTGTTGAACTTGATGACTTGTAGAACAAGTGATTACAACTCAACTTGGATTTGTTATGTTTACGATAATTGCCAAAATAAATAACATCTCACAATATATGTCTATTAAATATGTACATTTTCTTGATTTTGCTTGATTATTTTATGCAGTGGTTATATGTCTACTGAATATGCAATGAACAGGATCTTCTCAGTTAAGTCTGACGTCTACAGTTTTGGAGTCCTACTATTAGAGATTGTGAGCGGCAAGAAAAATACTATTTTTTCTCATTTGTCCGGCCCTTTAAGCCTTATAGAACACATAAAGTATCACAATAAATTTGATTCTCATTTAAAATTTCAATTAGGCTACACGAGCTTTCCAAATTTTTTTTTTTTTTTGTTTTTATATATTATTGGCTAAGTCATGTCTTACATTAAAATTGAAAATTATTGCAGGTATGGGATTTGTGGAAGAAAGGTACTAGTCTTGAGCTAATAGATCCGTCATCGAACTTTTCTTTTCATAAAACTCAACTGCTAAGATGTATTCATGTTGGTCTACTATGTGTACAAGAGTGTGTTGTGGACAGACCCACCATGTCAAACCTTATTGTTATGCTTAAAAATGAATCTTTGCGTCTACCTAATCCAAAACAACCAGCGTTATATACGGGGAGAACCCGAAATGCACCAACTTTACTAGCAGAGAATAAGTTGGAAGATTGTTCAGTAAATTTTGTTTCTATATCTGCGATGGAGGCAAGATAGAGGCATAAGTTACTTTCTGTAATTTTTGGTTCTTGTACTCATGTGGCTTTGCAAAAGCCACCTTATGACATTATGTGATTTAATTGCTCATTGGCTAGTAATAGAGAGCAATGGCCCCTCAAGTTGAGAATCCATCACCTTTGACCCCTCAAGTTGAGAATCCACCAGTAAACTTGGTTGCGTATCTTATTGATGAGACAAGTCATTCATGGATCGTTTATATCCTTAATCAATATTTCTCATTGGAAGTTGTGGATGCAATTTTGAAATTTCCAATTAGCATGTGTGGACGTGACGATGTCCAATATTGGTCCCCAACAACATTAGAAGATTTCTCCATTAAAACAACATATTATATTGCTCTCAAAATGCTCTCTCATCTCTCGAGTTAGACTAATGGTGTTTTAAAGTCTAATATTGTTGCCCATTGCTGGCACTCACTTTGGCGATGTCTACGAAAGTGAAGCATTTTTTGTAAAAATGTTGCTGGGAAGTGTTGCCTACTAAAGAGGCTCTTGGCAGGAGAGGTCTGTCCATTGATCCGGTTTGTCCTTGTTATGGTGGAGGACAAGAATCGGAGAAGCATCTCATGTTCCATTGTCCTTTCACTCTTCAAGTATGGAAGTTGTCCCCTCTTCGGTTTGATTTTACCTCTTTGTCCATCTCATTGTTTGCAACATGATAGACTTCTTTGGGGCATGCCATTGTAGGTGGGCATGCTAGATTACATGTTTACGATTTTTTATCATTTTTCATTTTTTGAAATTTTTTTGAATTTTGAAAGTATTTTCGTATTTCTTCGTTTCACATGCCAGACACCGTGGGGTATGCCGGTTGTGTTTAGGAGTTGGTTGAAAATTTTCCTTGAGTTCAGGACTCTTAGAAACTAATCACTGTATGTACAATACAATACCAAGTAAGAAGCCCAGCCACACAAAAGGTTCTTTAACTTTCACCAAGTCCATCTTCAAGAGACTGCAAAAAGCAAAAAAGTAACGAGCAAATAGCAAAAGAAACTCATTCACACATGCTGAATAATAATAATAATAATAATAATAATAATAATGCAGAGACTGGATTTGAACCCATGACCACAAGGTTAAGAGCCTAGCGAGCTAGCTAAAGCTTTGTCCTAGGCAGAAGACAATAACTGAGAACTAATAGACAAACAAGGATTTAATGCCTCCCTCCACTATATTTGTACATAGAGAATAACCCAATTATAATGAATTGAAGGAATTCTGATCCTCACCTAATATTTCAAGTAAGAAAGATCCATGAATTTTAAGAACAAATGGTGGAAAAGAGAAATATAGATGGAAGGAATATTAAACACGGCAGTATAAATTGGGAAGATGGTGAAAATAATACAAAATATAGTAGGATAAAGTGCAAATAACACCCGTCCTTACAGTCCATATCAACCCCCTCGTGCACAAAAAAACCCTCAAATCGAAAAAAAAATGTGCAAATAAGTCCTAAAGTAAGTCATTGACCAAATTACCCTTAAATAAACATATTTTACATTATTTTAAAAAAATGTTTTTGTTAAATTACCTAAAAGGACACCCCCAAATATGAAGTTATTCGGGTCAATCTGATCCTTTTTGGGTCACTTGATATATTGCATTTGAGTCGGCCACACAGTATGTTTTCTTCAAGTTTAGAAAGAGATATAGCTATAGAGAGATTGTGTTTTTGAAATTTGAGGTCGATAAAGTTAAGGTGGTAGAGCTGAGGGTGATTGTCGTGTAGGAATCGGCGAGCTTCAATCAGTACTGAGAATTCAACAACCCCTTGCTGGCTTGAATCTTGATCGTGCTGATGAAGGGCTGAGAGTTTGATGACATCTATATTCGAATACATATTTTGCAGAAAAGTGATTTGAGGGGAGTTGACAAAATATAGCACATTTTTTAAAATAGGGGGTGACAATGGTTCTCAAAGTATATAACAGGGGTGTTAAGTGCACTTTACCAATATACTGTACTGTTACACGATTTTTAAAAAAAAAGCACAGACCAAGACAAATTGAATGCTGACTACCCACAAGGTCCCGACTGCACTATGACATTTGCCGAGCCCTACTGGCCTTCATTAAGATCCTACATAAAAACATGCCACTACTATTATAAAGGCATCGAGTCCATAGGTCTGACTAGTTTGATTGATCGAAGCCTGCGGAAGTCTTGACAGGCATTCAATATATCGATTGATAGAAGCTTACTGGCAGTCTCAGAGGCATTCAAATCTATTGACCATGCAATCGATGCATTCTGACTTTGTACTAAATTTTACCTGAAACCAATTCAATCGGATGATCATTATATCAAAGCAATCTGTACCTATCAAAGCTTTCTGGATCAATCAAAGCATAATTTGCAAGCCTTTCAAAATAATCTAAAACTTAATGTTTTGAATAAAAACAGTTAATGAGCCAAACCAAGATCAAAGGTCAAAATAAGGTATTTACTGAAGTCCATTTACCTGTACCTAATTGTGCGATTGAGGATGCAAAAATTCGACCATGATCTTCTCAATTTTTTGTCTATCATGTCTTCAAAAAAATGACTATAAAAAACTCAAGGAACTTTGATATATATAGCAACTCAGGTTTTGGGTAAGATATGCCAATGACTCAATATCCTAATACAAACAAAGAAAATTTCCTGCAGTCTAACCAGGTAAAGGTTCTCTTAGCTTTCCAAAAGTCCGCTCTGAAAATCAACTACAAAATAGCAAAAGTTCGTAAACACCAAAGAGAGGTCAAGCAAAATCCAAGAACAAAAAAAACAAAAACAGAGAATTAGATACTCTATTCTGTTTTTAACTAATCACAGAACATATGGTCCAATAACAAGTAAAAAGTTTAGCCACACAAAAGGCTCTTTGACTTTCACCATGTCCATCTTCAAGTGACGGCAAACAAGCAAAAAAGTAACAAGCAACCAGCAAAACATACTTATTCACACATGCTAAAAAAATAATAATAATAAATAAATAAAATAAAAAAATAAATAACCCCAAGAAAAAAAATAATGCTGCGGAGAAGGGATTTGATTCCCTGACGTCAGGGTTAGGAAACTTGCGAGCTACCAAACTTGTGCATCCTCAATCGCACAATTAGGTACAGGTAAATAGACTTTAGTAAATACCTTAGTTTGACAAGAACTGAGTAGATAGACAAACAAGGATTTAATATGCTCCACCACTATATCTGGACAAATAGAATAATCATTGAAAATGAATTGTAAAAGAGTAGTAATCCTCACCTTATATATATAAAGAAAGATAGATTAATGAAAAAAGAAATATAAATGAAGGAAGAATAAACACAGAGGTAAAAATTGGGAAGATGGTGAAATAACACCAAATATACTGTTACACAAACTTTCAAAACGTAAATAAGCAAAAATCAAGACGAATAGAATGCAGCCTACCACAAGGTCCTGACTGCACTATGAAATTTCCCGAACACTACTTGCCTTCATTGAGATCCTACATAAAAACACGCCAATACTATTATACCGGCACCGAATACATAGGTCTGACAAGTTCGATTGATCAAAGACTACAACAAGTCTAAAAGGAATTCAACCTATGCACCATGCAATCGATGCATTCTGACTTTGAACTAAATATTACCAAAAACCAATTCAATCGGTTGATCATTCGATCAAAGCTCTCTGGATCGATCAATGATTAAATTACAAGCTTTCGAAAAAAAATCTAAAACTTAAAAGCTTAGAATCAATAACAATTTAGGAACCAAAACAAGATCAAAGGTCAAACTAAGGTATTGTCCATTTACTTGTACCAAATTGTCCAATTGAGGATGCAAATATTCCACCTTGGTATTCTCAATTTTTTGTCAGCCATTTCTTCAAAAAAAAGGTCCATAAACAACTCAAGGTACTTTGACACAACAACAACACAGGTTTTGGCTAAGATATGCCAATGATTCAATATCCTAATACAAACTTATAGAAACATCGATCATGTCCTGCAGTCTAACCAGGTAAAGGTTCTCTTAGCTTTTCAAAAAGATCGCTCTCAAAATCAACTACAAACAAGCGAAATAACAAGTGTTTGTAAAGACCAAAGCAAGAGGTCAAAAAAGCAAAATAGTAACGAGCAACCAACAAAACAAACTTACTGGAGTTGTAACATTAAATTTGTTATTATTTCACTGAATACGTAGGTCGATAGATTGAATGCTTGTGGGACTTCCAGTAAGCTTCACATATGCTATAAAAAACAAAAATAAAAATAAACCAAGAATAAAAATAATACTGCGGAGACAGGATTTGAAACCATGACGTCAAGGTTAGAGACTTGAAGACAAGAACTGAGAACTAACAGACAAACAAGGATTTAATATGCTCCTCCATTATATCTGTACAATAGAATAACCAACTTATAATAAGTTGTAAAGGAATAGTAATCCTCACCTAAAATTCAAAGTAAGAAATATCCATGAATTTTCAGATCAAATGGTGAAAAAGAGAATTATAGATGAAGGAAGAATAAACGTAGCGGTAAAAATTGGGAAGATGGTAAAACAATAAAAAAAATATACTGTTACACAACTTTCAAAACATAAATAAGCACAAACCAAGACGAATCGAATGCTGCCAACAAGAAGGTCCCGACTGCACTATGACTTTTCCCGAACACTACTGGCCTTCATTGAGATCCTACAAAAAAACACCACAATACTATTATAAAGGCACCGAATACGTAGGTTTGACAGGTACGATTGATTGAAGCTTACTGGAAGTCGCACAAGCATTCAATCTATCGACCTACGTATTCGGTGAAATAATAACAAATATAATGTTACAACTTTCACAACGTAAAACTAAGGTGTTTACTAAACAAGATCAAAAGTCAAACTAAGGTATTTACTAAAGACCATTTACCTGATACCTAATTGTGCGATTGAGGATTTAAATATTCCACAATGATCTTCTCAATTTTTTGTCAGCATGTCTTCAAAAAAATGCCCATAAATTATGAAAAAAAAAAATAATGCCATAAACAACTAAAGGCACTATGATACATTACAACTCGAGTTTTGGGTACAAACTCACAGAAACATCGATCATTTCCTGCAGTCTAACGAGGTAAAGGTTCCCTTAGCTCTTCCAAAAGACCGCTCTAAAAATAAACTATAAACAAGCAAAATAACAAGTGTTGGTAAACAACAAAGAGAGACGTCAAGCAAAATCCAAGAACGAAAAATGAAAACAGAGAATTAGATACTCTCTTCTGTTTTTAACTAATGACAGGATGTACAGTCCAATAACAAGTAAAAAGTCCAGCCATGCAAAAGGCACTTTAACTTTCACCAAGTCCATCTTCAAGTGATGGCAAATAATAATAAAAAAGTAACAAGCAACCAGCAAAACAAACTTATTGACATGTTAAAAAAATAAAATAAACTAAAAAACCAAGAACAAAAATAATGCTGCGGACATGGGATTTGAACCCATGATGTCAAGGTCAGGAGCCTTGCGATCTACCAAACTGCTCTGCCCCATGCTGAAAACAGGAACTGAGAACAAATAGACAAATAAGGATTTAATATGCTCCTCCACTATCTGTACAAATAGAATAACCCATTTATCATGAATTGTAAAGGAATAGTAATCCTATCCTAATATTCCAAGTAAGAAATATCCATGAATTTTCAGAACAAATGGTGGAAAAGAGCATAGATGAAGGAAGAACTCAGGTTTTGGGTAAGATATGCCAATGACTCAATATACTAATACAAACTTATAGAAACATCGATCATTTCCTGCAGTCTAACCAGGTAAAGGTTCTCTAAGCTTTTCAAACAGACCGCTCTCAAAATCAACTACAAAGAAGCGAAATAACAAGTGTTTGAAAACAACAAAGAGAGAGGTCAAGCAAAATCCAAGAACAAAAAAATAAAACAGAGAATTGGATACTCTCGTCTGTTTTCAACTAATCACAGGATGTAAAGTCCAATAACAAGTCAAAAGTCCAGCCACGCAAAAGGCACTTTAACTTTCACCAAATCAATCTTCAAGGGACTACAAACAAGCAAAAAATTAACGAGCACATGCTAAAAAAAAATAAAAATAATGCTACGAAGACAGGATTTGAAACAATGACATCAAGGTTCGGAGCCTTGAGAGCTACCAAACTGCTCTGCCCAACGCTGAAGACAAGAACTGAGAACTAATAGACAAACAAGGATTTAATATGCTCCTCCACTATATCTGTACAAATAGAATAACCCATTTATAATGAAATAATAACCCATTTATAATGAATTTTAAAGGAATGGTAATCCTTGCCTAATATTCCAAGTAAGAAAGATCCATGAATTTTCAGAACAAATGGTGGAAAAGAGAAATATAGATGAAGGAAGAATAAACAGAGTGGTAAAAATTGGGAAGATGGTGAAATAATACCAAATTTACTCTTACACAACTTTCAAAACGTAAATAAGCCCAGCCACGCAAAAGGCTCTTTAACTTTGACCAAGTCCATCTTCAGGTGACTGCAAACAAGCAAAAAAAGTAACGAGCAACCAGCAAAACAAACTTGCTGACATGTTAAAAAATAAATAAAAACCAAGATTAAAAATAATGCTGTGGAGACGGGATTTGAACCCATGACATCAAGGTCAGGAGCCTTGCGATCTACCAAACTGCTCTAACCCACGTTGAAGACAGGAACTGAAAAACAAACAGACAAATAAGGATTTAATATGCTCCTCCACTATACACGTACAAATAGAATAACCCATTTATAATATTCCAAGTAAGAAAGATCCATGAATTTTCAGAACAAATGGTGGAAAAGAATATAGATGAAGGAAAAACTTAGGTTTTGAGTAAGATATGCCAATGACTCAATATCCTAATACCAGCTTACAGAAACATCGATCATTTCCCGCAGTCTAACCACGTAAAGGTTCTCTTAGCTTTCCAAAAAGACCGCTTTCAAAATTAACTACAAACAAGCAAAATGACAAGTGTTTGTAAGAACCAAAGAGGGAGGTCAAGCAAAATCGAAGAAAAAAAAAATAAAACATAGAATTAGATACTCTCTTCTGATTTCAACTAATCACAGGATTTATAGTCCAATAACAAGTAAAAAGTCCAGCCATGCAAAAGGCACTTCAACTTTCACCAAATCCATCTTCAAGTGACTGCAAACAAGCAAAACAGTAACGAGCAACCAGCAAAACAAACTTATTCTTACATGCTAAAAAAAAAAAAAAACCAGAATAAAAATAATGCTGCAGAGACGGGATTTGAAACAATGACATCAAGGTTAGGAGACTTGCGAACTACCAAACTGCTCTGCCTCACGCTGAAGACAATAACTGAGAACTAATAGACAAACAAGGATTTAATATGCTCCACCACTATATCTGTACAAATAGAATAACCCATTTATACTGAATTGTAAAGGAATAGTAATCCTCGCCTAATATTCCAATTAAGAAAGATCCTTGAATTTTCAGAACAAAAAGTGGAAAAGAGAAATATAGATTAAGGAAGAATAAACACAGTGGTAAAAATTGGGAAGTTGATGAAATAATACAAAATTTACTGTTACACAACTTTCAAAACGTAAATAATAGCCATTCAAAACGCTCTTTAACTTTCACCATGTCCATCTTCAAGTGACTGCAAACAAACAAAAAAGTAACGAGCAACCAGCAAAACAACTTATTCACACATGTTAAAAAAAAAAAATTAAAGAAGAATAAAAATAATGATACGGAGACGATTTGAACCCATGACGTCAAGGCTAGGAGTCTTGCGAGCTACCAAACTGCTCTGCCCCACGCTGAAGACAAGAACTGTGAACTAATAGATAAACAAGGATTTAATATGCTCCTCCACTATATCTGTAGAAATAGAATAACCCATTTATAATGAATTGTAAAGGAATAGTAATCCTCTCCTCATATTCCAAGTAAGAAATATCCATGAATTTTCAGAAATGGTGGAAAAGAGAAATATAGATGAAGGAAGAATAAACACAGTGGTAAAACTTGGGAAGACGGTGAAATAATACCAAATATACAGTTACACAAATTTCAAAATGTAAATACGCACAAACCATGACAAATCGAATGCTACCTACCACAACGTTCGGACTGCACTATGATATTTCCCGAACAGTACTAGCCTTCATTGATATCCTACATAAAAACACCACACTTATATAAAGGCACTGAAATACGTAGGTCTGACAAGTGCGATCAATCAAAGCTTACAGGAAGTCTCAAAAGCATTCAATCTATTGACCATGCAATCGATGCATTCTGACTTTGAACTAAATATTACCTAAAACTAATTCAATCGGTTGACCATTCCGATCAAAGCTCGCTGGATTGATCAACGCATAACTTCCAAGCAAGATAGAAGGTCAAACTAAGGTATTTACTAAAGTCCATTTACCAGATACCTAATTGTGCGATTGAGAGTTTAAATATTCCACCATGATCTTCTCAATTTTTTGTCTACATGTCATCAAAAAAATGTCCATAAACTCAAGGCACTATGATACATTACAACTCGGGATTTGGGTACAAACTCACAGAAACATCGATCATTTCCTGCAGTCTAACCAGGTAAAGGTTCTGTTAGCTCTTCCAAAAGACCGCTCTCAAAATCAACTAGAAACAAGCAAAATTAAAAGTTTTGGTAAACACCAAAGAGAGAGGTCAACCAAAATCAAAGAATGAAAAACGAAAACAGATAAATAGATACTCTTCCGTTTTAAACTAATCACAGATTGTACAATCCAATAAGAAGTAATAAGTCCAGCAATGCAAAAGGCTCTTTAACTTTCACCAAGTCCATCTTCAAGTGACTGCAAAAGCCAAAAAAAAAAACTTATTCAAACATGTTAAAAAAAACAAGAATATAAATAATGCTGCAGAGACAATTTGAACCAATGACGTCAAGGTTAGGAGCCTTGCGAGCTACCAAACTACTCTGCCCCCCGCTGAAGACAACAACTGAGAACTAATTGACAAACAAGGATTTAATATGCTCCTCCACTATATCTATACAAATAGAATAACCCATTTATAATGAACTGTAAAGGAATAGTAATCCTCTCCTAATATTCCAAGTAAGAAAGATCCATGAATTTTCAGAATAAATGGTGGAAAAGAAAATATAGATTAAGGAAGAATAAACACAGCCATAAAAATAGGGAAGATGGTGAAATAATACCAAATTTACTGTTACACAACTTTCAAATGTAAATAAGCCCAAACAAAGACGAATCAAATGCTACCTAACACAAGGTCGCGAATGCACTATGACATTTCCCGAACACTAC